AGAAATAAAATAACATGAAACAGTAAAACTAGGAAATTTCATGAACATATCATGAAAACTACTAAATCCCCATAATAAAAAATGTACACATCAAAGTAGCCAACCAATGCCAATATGTCACATCTTCAATCAAAACTGTATGGCCCTAAGTAAGTTCATGTCTCATCTTCGCCAGGGCAGATGAGGAAGCTGCGCGAAAACCAGCATGGAAACATATGGGCGAATAGCAACCCAGTTGCTGCAATTTGTATCCCCAAAGGAATCACTATCGTCTAGCAAAATTGTTGCAGGGCTTATTTTGCACTAGCTTTTCGATTCATCAAGTCATGATAATATAGCAGTAAACACATGGGTTGACCTAGTATGCTGAAAAAGCACCAAAATATCATGTTGCCCACCTGGAGAAAGGAAAAAAAAATAGCCTCGGTTTTAGATTAAAATGCTATCAAACCATTGGGGCGACATACATGGATGAAGAGCAAGACTTGTTCGAAAAAGTACTCCAAGAAGTTAATAGTCTTTAAGCAACTATAGATTACTTCAGTGAATTTGTTTCTAACAGTAGTCCCCCGAACCATATTTATGCAACTTGAGAACTCGAAGTGGAAAAACAAACTGCTGAAATTGACGAGGACATAATGAAGAACCCAACAAGGTGATACGGACAGGAAAAACTTACCATCGAATTTTGAAACTTGTCTTGCAAGTAATTAGTTATGATGACAAGAGGAACCTGTTCAATGGCGAAATCAGAATTCACAAACCATATTCTCAGAACTAATGTTCGATCTTACTAAAAACTAAATTCCACAGATGGACGTGAACAGTAACATTACCTGAAACATAATGCCAATGAATGCCCAAAACTTGAATATGTGACAAGGGACGGCAATACACAACTGTAAACAAACCGAAGTTGATTTCATATAAAACATGCTAAGCTTAGGCACTAATGTGAGAGCATAAACATAAACTTGGAATGAGATGCAAAGCGGGGAAAGACATCATACCTCATGAAAAATAGCAGATACAAGGAACGCAATCAAAACAGCACCTCCCTGCATAAAATTAAAAATTAAAAAAAAAAAAAAAGTAGATCAATTAGATTACCAAAAATGTTATATGGATTACAAATAGAAGTCTAATAAGAGGCAAAGTGGCCAAAGGATCTTTTAGGCTGAAATCTAAGGACTGAGTACAACTGTTGATTAATGTAAAACTACAAAAGCAATAACGTGCAAAACTTTAAGCTCAAAGTATCATCATCGTGAGTCGTGACT